ATGCATGAATAAATCATTTTAAGCGCTCCCTCAAAAAAAGGATAAACCTTCAGGATGAACTAGTTTCTAAAAAGAAGTTTGCCCTTTTTATATGCAGGAAAAGATTTTACCATAAATTGTCAATGTGTTAGTACAAATAAATGGTAAGAATCTCTATATAAACGCATAAACAAATAAATAAAATGGTTCTGCAAAATGTTAACTCTAAAAAACTAACTAAGTAAATATTACAGTTCCCCTAACTTTTGAAGATCAAAGAAACAAATATAGGATGTGATAGATATTTATAGATACCAGTTTGGGGAATAAAAAAAAACAAAAAAAAAAACAACCTTACAAAAGGCATCAGCACGTTAGAAGAATCTTTGTTGTTGAGAACATTTTAAGCACAATAAAGTTACTTATGCAACAAACCTACTAAATGATACAAAATAAAAGTTCCTAACAATTTCTAAAGTGTTTTTAATACACAGTCAAAGTCACTGTGTACAAATGTGGGGTTTTTAAAACTACTGTTAACTTCCTTTGAGTGGCAGACTAACAGAAATCCACAAAAGAACCAGGCGATGGCTGTGGAAACGTTTTACACGTAATACAACCACAGCAACATATGTCTGTATGTCTGAGAAAAGAAAGTGCAATGAAGTGTTTTACAATGTAAGAAAAGCCTTCATTGTTTGATTAAAAGAAAAAGAGAGGATTGATTAAAAAAAATGCAGTGTTTTGAAAAAGAGTAAATCCTGATCTTATTCCAAGAAGAACCTGAACTGAGAGCAAGTTAAAAAGTTTAAATTGAAAAATGGATTAAAATTCCTTCAGGTTGGTGTGTGAAATATGTACTGCTGCACAGAAGGGCTCACACCAGACAGTGAAGGGGAAAACCTTTGGCAAACGCCAGTATCTAAAGCTGAATCTTTTTTCTTTATTTAATAAATGCCTAGAGATAATATTTTGGTGTCCACTCAATATTTTAAGTCACATTTGCACAGAAATACAGAGAAACTTAATGTTTCACAACATCTAAAGCAGGGCTATTTTACTACTTTGCTCAGAGGGACCACTGTTACTAAAAGCTAACATCTCAGGGGCCAGACGTGAGGAAATTATTGCCATTAATTAAACTTAATTTAAGATTTAAAGATCTAATTTTGTTTTCAATGAATTAAATGCCAGGTGGAGTTGTATATCCCTGTCACCTTGTACCTAACTGAATCAGCTCTCTGATGGAAACATTTGTCATTTCAGATCTAAAAAGGCTACATGTATTTTAAAATAACTCATTGGTGGGCCAGACTGAGCTCACCAAAGGGCCAGATGTGGCCCCTGGGCCACTAGTTGAATAACTCCGATTTAAAGGCAAATTACAGACATGTATTGTATGTAAAGTTACATTTTTATTTTATTTTGCATAGTCTTACTATAGAAGACATTTGAAGCAATATATTACAGTACTATTTTATCACTTTTATTATGTTGTTTTTGTTTGAAAGAATACAGGAAATGACCCCAGCGACCAAAAAATGAATACTATCTGTGAAATCTTGTAGGCTAGATATTGATCAAGTATGCTGAGCATGTTTGTGCTCCATAAGTAGGTAGATGTTTCAATATCTTGTTGACGCCTCCTTAAGTTTCTCAGAGCAGAAAGGAGATGCCCTTCACTTTGTGGAGATCACACGAAACCTCCCATAAAAAGTTTCAGATAATAACAAAAACAGCCAATCTAAATTCAGTGCCGCTTTAGCTTCAGATGTTTTTTCAAATAGCACAGAGGCATTTAGGAATAGCTCCTTATCCTTTAATTGTCTACATTTTTTTAAGTGAGGAGTGGCTTTACCTCTGGTTACAGTTGACACAGGACAGACACACCAAGGATTTCATGAAAATGAATTGGGGAATGGCGCATGGAAGGTTTATTAGAGTGTATAAATACTATACCAGGAGATATTCTGAACAATTTATTTAATCTTTTCAAATCAGGAGGTGTTTCCAAACTTTTGACTTTGACAGAATTCATACATTTTCAGTCTTTATATCCATTTCAAACACTGCTCTGGTCTTAGAGTATGATCTCACAGAGAAATTCACCTGGAGCTGCGCAGTGGGGGGGTCAGCTGCAGGAGGAGTGGAGGTTAGAAGTATTACTTGTTTAAAGCATGAAGAAAGAGGATGTGGAAGATGTCTAGAGTGACCTGGCAGCAGGAAGTGAATTTACAAGTCTTCCTCCACAATGCTGCATCCTGAAACTATATTTACCCTTCAGACAACAAAAGATACATACAAACTGTTGAGCTGGCAAGTACCAGTACTTTAAAAAGTTGTAAATGCCTAAATTTGTTTATTTAAATTCCATTTGATATATCTCACAAATTTCAAATAATACCATATGTCAAGTCAGTAACGTTAGATGTTTTAAACAAAACTTATTAAAACCTTAATTTATTTTAGCTAGGCTATGTATGAGTTACAGTATAGTAAAAAAAAAAAAAAAAAAACATGACGTAATTTCCGGACTATAAGCCGCTAGTTTTTTCATATGCTTTGAACACTGACTTATACAATGTTGTGGCTGATTTATGACTATTTTTTGTTTGGACAGGCTAATGAGCTTCATGTAGGCGTGCACCGATAAATCGGCCGGCCGATTTATCAGCCCCGATTTCCTTAATTTTGGGAAATCAGAAATCGTCTGATACTTGTGTAACGGGTATAAGAAATACTTAGATTATTGTAATGAAATTCCTGCAAAAATATGTAATATAGTTGTCCTGTAATGAGTGGGCTTTGGCGTTCTCTACTGGTAGGCTATAAATATGACCAGAAACTGAAATTCTATCAGTCTTCCTAGCTCTCTGCTGTGGTAAGTTGTACAGTCCGATTCACTTCTAAATAAATAAATAAATAAAATAAAATAAAATAAAAAAGCTCACGAGACAGTATGTCTGATGTTATTTTTCTTATAGATATTTGTGCCAGTAGAGGAGCTGACCACACTATGTTTTTGCTCTGAACCACTCATTTACAGGTAGTTAGTTGTGTTATACTAAATGCTCTGAGTTAAATCAGTTACGTCAATGTCTGTTGGTTGTCATGACGACACAACTGTTATATTTTCTGTGAACCAGCAGAGGGTGGTGTAGAGCAATTTAATAATTCATTTTAACTGCTGTCTGCAATTATTCTAACTTCTTATTTTATTGATAAAATGGATGTCAGGTTAAAATAGATTGTATTAGATTTAATGTAAAACATTAATGCTAAAACCACTATACCATCACATGTTAAAAAGAATATTGTTAAAAGTCATTGTAACAGATATTTGAGAATCTTCACAGTCTTTCTAACGCTCTGCTGTGATATTTGTGCCAGTAGAGGAGCTGACCACTCTATGTTTATGCTCTGAACCACTCACTTACAGTAAAGTGCTACCTCATTCAACCAATCGGCCTCAGAGTGTTTATGACAGGACGGGTTACACAACTGTTACACTTGCATGATAAACCGATTTTACAGTTTTTTGTTTGTTTGTTTTAACAACTTTCTGAACTTCATTTATATTTCAGAACATTACCTCATGGCCAGTTAAAACAAGTTTGTGCTATTTCTAGGAAACAACACAAACTTGTTCAAGGGTATGTTTTTCAACGAAATAATACTGGAAAATTGAAGGTGGGTTGTGACCTTATAACACCTGACAGTGTCGCTTATAAAACAAAATCGGTATCGGCCAAAATCGGAATCGGCAAGTCAGATTTTTTAGAAATCGGTGATCGGCCAGAAAACTGCAATCGGTGCACCCCTAGCTTCAAGCTGCCCAAGCATTTAGTGTCGTCACACCCGGGCGCTCACATAGCTGCTCAATACACGTCTCTCTTGTGGGGGGAGGGGGTGCCCCCCCAAGCACAAGCTGTCCTCCATCCTCCTCTCTCCTGCACAGTGCGCAGGAGGAAGGTGAAAATAGCTATCAATGACTTTCTGGTAGACTACAGTATTTTTTTTTTTAATGAGCGGTGTTAATGGCACTGTTCAGAATTAAAACAAACAAAAACAAAACAAAAAAAAAACCCTTTTACTGTACGTATGTGTAAATGTTACCAGAACGTATGAAAGTAAACGTTTCAAAACATTTTCTGTGTAAATATCTCACGTTACAGTGTGGACACCCACGGCTTATAGACAAGTGCAGCCTATATATGTACAAAACTAATATAAATTTTTATTTAGTGGGCGTGGCTTATATTCTGGTGCGCTCATTAGTCCAGAAATTACAATAACAAATCTGTAAATATTGCTTCTTCTAAAATAAATTTTTTTTAAGGCACGTCTTTTAGAACGGCAAGAAATACTTTGTGGATTCACTTCAACTATTGCCGGAGCTTTCAGGCTCGATGAGGAAACGTGGTGAAGTGATAGCGATGATGATGGTGGGGTGAACGTGCTCACTTGGTTGTCTGCCGAGAGGCGGGGCATGGAAAGGGTCCGCCCATGCCCATCCACAGGGTGATAGGGCTCAGTGTCAGAGTACCCGTCCCGCCCCATCTCCCTCATCTCTACAGTCTGCAAAACACAATGAGAGGGGGGGCGTGACCACTGTCTGCTGAGGGAGTGGACACGGACATGCCGTGGGGTAGTTGACCAACCAAGGAAGGGATATAAAATAAAAGCAAATATGTATGAATAGACTTTTTATTTTCATTCTAGAAGAAAATAAAAAATAAAAGGAAGCAATTCTGTCGTGATTTATGCTACAAAATGCTGCATAAATTGGTTGTAAAGTGAAAAACTTAGAATACTTTAATTTATTTATTTTTTTAAACTAAGCAGCCTAGCTAATGATTCAGCATCCAGGGTAGAGTCTTTCAAATTTAATCCTTCTCTTTTTAAGGCATCATTTCAAAATCCAAATTCCACTGTACATGGAACTGAAATGCCTAAAGAGATAACGCCCCGAGAGAGTTGGGGCATCCCAACAGACAAGTGAAAGTAAGGAAGGGGTAGTGAAGAGGACTGGGTGCACATCACACAACAGATCCATCAAGTCCAGAGCCTCAACTTAAAAAAAAAAAAAGAGGTCGAGCAGTTAACAGGGAAGACTAAACAACAGGAGAATGGTGATGTTATACAAATAATGACGACAGACTTTGAGCAGGACAGAAGACAAGGAGAATGGCAGTCAGGTATAAAAATGGCAAAGGTTTGACAAAAAAGTGGAAATTATGCATTTAATTACTAAACTTACAGAAGTTCTGAAGGATGATGACGTGTGTTATTGTGATGAAGTGTTTTATTACATTTACATCTTAGCTCTTTAAACTCTTTCACTCATTTGATTTTGTCAATATATACATACACATGTTGCAACAGCAGGATTCCTGAGCGGTGTTCTCCCCCTCTAGTAATTTTTGCTAACGGCAACATCATACCCATTCATTGAACCAATATATACATAGTTAGACAGAAACTCTGCTTTGGCTCAGACTGATATGTTACCATGGCGACAACATGCTTGGACCCATCATACCTGAGGGTTATGGCGGTTTTCATGAGGATCATCAGGGTACGCTCTGTCTGGGCTCCAGTTGCCCGTCTTTTGGAACATTTCCTGGGCTTTGGCCGTCATCCACGATTGGCTCTCAGTCATGCCACCTTCGGGAGGTCTGGCATTCACACACACGCATACATAAACACATGCACACACACACAAATCAGGGACAGTTTCAAGAAAAGTGAGATTTGTCTCATTGTCATGTCAACGTAACAACTTCCTGAAGATGTCCTGATGCATGCTCAATAATTCAGGCAGACACATCTAACAAGGTTGAGGCAGGTCCTCTGGATGAATTCTTTTTGTTGAAAATTTTTGAAATTTCTAAGTTCATCTCATTCAGTCACATTAGATGTTTTTTTCAGCATTACAGTTATTATCATCAACTTTTTGTTTTGTATAGCTTAATGCAACATCCAGCACATTAATCATTTAGAAATCAACAATAAAATGTTTTTCATGCCGTAAACGACTTGGAAAAAAGTTGCCTTGAAATCCAGTTTGGACATGTACGAACATTTATTCTAATTTGTGGAGAACTGTCCTTCAGTCTACTCACATGCTGTTGATGTTGTCCAGCTGAGTGTTCGGGAGGCCATTTTGGCTCTGGCCCCCCTGGCCTTCAGTGCCCCCTCCTTCAGAGGGCGCCTCCATGCGCTGAAACATTAATGGCGTTCGGTTCTGTGTGAGATACATGACATGGCCTGCAGGCTTGCATCAGGCACACTCGGGGGAGACATAGGACACAAACACAGGATGCACTCGCAGCATGCACCCACACAGGGGCGCCATCAGCAAGCGCATGGCTGTGGATGTCTGAGGTAAAGTTCTCCGATCGATCACCGATCTGGATCATTCTAGCCACATTGAACTACTATTTACTCATTTCTGACTTATAGATGTGTTGAATTATTTTGCTTTATGTTCAAGGAGGGAGCTGATCTCAGATCTGTGTCAGAGTGGAACTTCTACCTTATGAATTTGGGGTAAGGTTGTTCCTAATTGATTCGTCATGATGCACATTACTGTACAGACAAAAGCACGCATTTTACTCAAAAATTTGCATCTGTCACTAGTCAAACTTTTTGAGTAACATCATTTGTTGAAAGGTAAACATCCTCTGCTTCAGTCAGACATGTTGGGAGGTCAAAAAGCCTCCAAGGAGATTCCGAGGTTTTTCCAGAACTGGAATCTGTCATGGAACAATACAATACAAAGGATGTAAGACCTCTTCAAAAACAACGTTGTACACAGTCCTCCTTAGATGAGTCAGTAAATCCTGATGGACACTTGGCTACAGTATATATCAATACAGATAACTGACTTGCTTTTAGACTGAAAAGCTGACTGTAGCCAAAACGCATTGAAAGCATCTTAAATACAGTCAAATGCAACTTTTCTTCAATTCATCTAAAAAATTGTGAAATTTATCAAAGCACATAAATATGCAGTCAAGTTGTTAAGGAAAGTTTCTCTTTGGACACCCTGGTTTATCCTGCTATACTTATAAGTGTTAACTTATGGAAAATACTGTGGACGAAACATAAAAATGTAACATAGACACTGATGCCAGCTCTAATGAATAATGTTTAAGAGGTGGGTCAGGTTTGAGTCTTTGGTCCAGGAGTGACACCTGGAACATCCCACAAATACCCACCACAAACATTAGGAGATGCAATAAGTGGAGAACATGGGTTTGAGTTGTAGATGTGGAGGTTTCATCTCCTCCCAGAAGGACAAAGAGGACAGGAAGAGTTGGGATGGAAAACAAATGGCATGCTTCAAACTAACCGTCTAACTGGAGATACAGAGGAAAACTTTTTTTTTTTTTTTACATGCAGTAAGAACAAACAGTAAAGAAGACACGTGATTTGGAACTAGGCCCGTCGCGATAAACAATAAATCAATTAATCGCATGATAAATGAAAATTATCAACCTCATAAATATCAGCTTTATCATTTCTTCATGTCTCTCACTTTCTACTGAAGACACTGGATGACTAAAAGCTCAACTCCGGTGCTCTTCACTGACCCCTCCCTTTCTCTTGTCTCTTTAAAAAACGTTTTAACCGTCTAAAATCGTGTTTTTGGATCGTTAAAAGCAGCTAAGCTGAGAAGCTAAACTACGAGCTAAGCTAACAGAAAAAAAAAACTGTCTTGTCAAAGCTCCAAAATTCACGGTTGAAACCCGTGCCTTCATCTAAAAAGTTGTTTTTCGCTGCAAAAAGAAACTGAGAACTTGTTTACTGATTTTTTTTAATTAAAAGCTTTGTGTGACAAATGCTATGCTAAAGAACTCAAACCACACTGAGTGACCGCCATTTTGAGAACTGAAAAACAGGAAAGAGAGACAGCCCATGTCACGTCAAGGGGCCTTCCTCTTATTTTTCTTAAAGAGACACGCTGCTCTCTCCCTCACTATCCATCCTTCGGTTCAAACCATCTTATACTGCCATCCAGTGTCAATAAAAGGTACTAAACACAAAATTTAAACATTTCTTTTTAAATTTGACTACAATTACTAATTATTGTCAAATTTCAAACAACATTATCGTTTATTGCAATAATTTCCGAGACAATTAATTGCTCAGCAAAATTTGTTATCGTGACAGGCCTATTTGGAATGAGGAGGAAAGAAAAGAAATGAAGGCATAATTAGACAAGCACGACAAAACGTTAAAGAAATAATCCATTTTCAGTTGTTCATCATTCACTAAAAAATACGTTTTTTGCCTGTACTTGCATAAATATGCATTTTTATTTAAACTAAAGTAAAACTACTGTCCTAAAAGCTTCTTCAACCAGCTATTCTAGCAAAATGTCACTTGTCCCACTTTTTTCCTGTAATGTGGTTCAAATAGATAAAATACAAACTAGAATCGTGTTTGTTTTCAGTTTGTTGATGGAAGGAACATTTTGTTCACTGGTTTTATTAACATACTTTTATCATTACTTTATCCTCAATGAGTTCCAATTCTACTTTAAAGTTCTTATCTGCAACTACTTGCAACTACTTGCTGTAAAGACAAAGTAGTTTTTTTTAGTAAATCATGCAACTTCTAGCTCTGTCTTTGTGAATTGTATTTCATAATCAGATCACGATTGCAGTTCATTTTTCAGCTAAAACCACTCTGGATGAGAGGCGAGAACATCTGAGAACAAATGGTTTGTTTGCAAAACTGCAGTTCATGAGCTGTTTAGAACAACACACTTTACATTTTACATACAAACCTCATCTAAACCGGTTTCTAAATCAGCAAGATGTTGGTTTGGGTGGATTCATTCTTTCAAATAGTAATAAAAGCAGTACAAAACAGTGTAGGTCAGGGGTGTCCAAACTTTTTCATATCTGTGCCAAAACTATCAAGATGAAAGGACTCGTGGGCCACAAAAATGTGAATTTAACTCTCAACATGAGTAATATTTTGGAAAAAAGAAAAAAAGTTTACTAATTTTGTTGGAGAGTTTTAAATTGTTGTAGATCCAAAACATTAAAAGCCTCATAAACAATAACCTTATATATTTTTTTTATTAAAAAAGATTTAAATTATCTGATTTGTTGGGTCTATGTTTGTTGTTTTCTTGAGTTTGGAAATTTAATTTTAGAAGATACATATATCTTCCTACACAATGCTGCATCCTGAAACTATATTTACCCTTCAGACAACAAAAGATACATAAAAACTGTTGAGCTGACAAGCACCGGTAGTTTAAACAGTTGCAAATGCCTAAATTTGTTCATTTAAATTCTAATTTATATAGCTCACAAATTTCAAATACAGGAACACTAGATGTTTTAAACAAAAATGATTAAAAACTTTATTTATTTTAGCTAGGTATGAGTTACAATATACTAAAAAAATACCGTAATTTCCAGACTATAACCCACTACTTTTTTCACATGCTTTGAACACCGTGACAATGTTGCTGCTAATTTAAGATTTTTTTTGATTGGCTAATGAGCTTCATGCTACAAAAGCATTTAGCGTCGTCACACCCGGGCGCTCACATAGCTTGGGGGGGTCTTCGTGACTCAGTGAGACTAGACTACCTTATAAATAAAGGTTAAAATAAAAAATCTGACCAATGAAATTACCAAACAGGTCACAGTGAAACCAATGAAACTTGGTCCACTGTGAAACGTGGTTTCATTGGTCCACATGAATGTGAACAATATTTTGGAATAAAGAAAAAAAATTACTACTTTTGCTGGAGAAAGAGCTTTAAATTATTGTAGATCCAAAACATTAAAAGCCTCATAAACACTAAGCTCATATATTTATATTAAAAAGGATTTAAATTATTTGATTTGTTGGGTCTATGTTTGTTGTTTTCTTATGTTTAGAAAATTCATTTTAGTCTGTTCTCAGCAACAACAGTGTAAGCGTAATATGAGTAAGTGTCCTTTTAAAAGGGGTCGATCAGCCTTTTGGACCATGGACGGCCCAAAAGGCTGATCGAAGTTCTGAAAAATCGTTCAGCTGTCAGTCGCCACAACAGATTCATAGAAGGTTTGATAAAGTTGATCAACTGGTATGTAGACGATACCTTGTTATATTCATTTAAAAATGTCCAATTTCCTTCTATTGGTTATATGAACTGCAATTTGTTATTTTTAGTTAAGTTTTATGAATAATTATCCAAAAGCCTCCTTTTTGACAGGTTTTTGTTGCTTTGTACCATGAAGTGGAAATTAAAAAAACCATCATAGCCAAAAGTTTGTATTTTGCTTAAAATTGCTCATTTTGAGAATTTTTTTCATCCATTTTGCTGTTCAACCTAAACATTAAATAAAAAAGAACACAAATGAATTTGCAGAATGCCTGCATCAACCTCTTAACCCTGCGGGCCAAAATGATACCATTCTTAAACTGCACTTGTGGGCCGCATAAAATCCCTCCAAGGGCCGCAAATGGCCCTCAGGCCGCACTTTGGACACCCCTGGTGTAGGTGAAATGAGATGATGTACAGAAGGAAGGACACAAACAAACAATACACAAACAGGGGACCAAGCGCACTGCTGATGTTGAGTCTGTTCAGTCCAGAGGCATTAGTTGCACGTAGCAACATTCCAGTGCATTCTGAGTTCGCAACAGTAAAACACGAATAAAAAAGTGAAACTAGCAAATGCTCCATCCCCCACATTATATTGTTCTGCAAAGTAGTAATCCCACCTTTAGAAGTGAATATAAATCAACGACTAGGCTGACAAGGTTTATTGAAAACCTTTCATGGACTTGTGCGAAATCAGGAGGCATTAGGTGGAGAGACGTTTCCGCACATCCACAGAGTGGAGTGAAAACAAAGAGACAGTGGGAGCGAGTGCATCACGCAGGCATTCGTCAACAGGAGAGGAGGAGCACTGACAATAAACAAATGGTGAGGCCATGTGGTATCATCATCAGTGTTGGTGTAAACATTATGAATAAAAAAACAGCAGTCAGATCACCAAACCCCCCTAAACAAATTCAAACAATTAGGAAACAACATTTTTTAGCAGGGGTTGTAAAAAAACGTTCAGCCAAGGGAACAAGGTGCTGTAAAGACGTGCTTAAAAGAATAAAGCATCTACCAAAAGCAAAGAAAGTGTTGATTTTACTAAACCAATATTTAGAAGACAAAATGCACGATTCGGTCAAGAGAGCTAAGAAGAAGTATCCTTAACAGCTTGCTACGAAGAGGCGCAGAAAATCTAAAACTTCGGTGCGTTTCGGGGACTTCCCCGGGATGCTGGGACGGCGTCTACCTGTTCCTCTCGCAGAGCCTGCAGCTTTTTTGTCTTGCTCTGTCGGTAGTATTCCATGATCATCATTGCTGCGTAGATTTTGCCCACCGTCAAGTCTGTGGCTGCTGAGAAAATGACAAGTTACCCTGGAAGATTAGACCCGAGTGAGATGGGACCCTGAGCCATGTGGGGAGTGTGGGAGAGGGGGACAAGACACAAAAACACAGAAGAATACACAACAGCATGCAGAACACACCAGCAATGGTGACAGCAGTCTTTCAGTAAACTCAATACTTGCTTTACATTTTGTTTAAACTCTTTTAAAATATGAGCCACTTAAACAAGATGGCAGTGCCCAATGAAACAAAACAAAAACAAAACAACAAAAACAGAACATGCTGGTGGAAAAAAACTAAATCAAGTAATGGTTACATATTACGACTTCTTTTTTTTCTTTGTTGAGATAATTTCTCATCAAAAAAAAAAATGTATGTGTTCGTTCAGTATTTTTGAAGTGAGACTGTATGCAGTACTTCAGAGTACTTTTGGTACGCAGTTTTCACTCATTGTTTTTAAATCTTTTTTATTTTATTTTTTTTCCATTTACCCTTTATTTATACAGATAGTCTCATTGAGCCATGAGAACTCATTTTCAAGAGAGACCTGTTTTTGGGAGCAAATGGTGGGGGCCTTGTTCATGGGTCCAGGGTGGAGCAAATGAGGGTGGAGGCAGGTGTGGGCGTTTCACCATTTCCACCCACATTTTGATGTTGACGGTACCAGGAGTTGAACCTGCGACTTTCTGATCACAGGCCCATTTTCTCTAACCTCTGCGCCACCACTCCCCTTTATATTGTCCTTTAACTTTAAGATCATTCATGTTCCTTAGTTGAGGAAAATACTACTTTTAAATATATTTTTCCTCAATAAACTACTGGTAATTAATCTTTTAGAGCTATCTCGGCTTGAAAAAACAAACAAACAAACAAAACGACAACAAATAAGTAAATAAAATTTCAAAGCCTTTTTTAATGGAACTTTTCAATGACTTTTAGTTTAAAAACAAACACATTTCATTATTTTTTGTTTTTAAATCAAGAAATTATTAATTTTAAGGCAATTTTTGAAAAATAATAAGGGAAAAAAAAAGGGATTTCCCCACATTAGTATGCCCAAAATGATTTCTTTACAAAAAAAAAACAAAAAAACTTCAATACAGACTTTTGTTAAGATCCTTTAGCCCACCTGACCCTTCAGATGTGTAAGCTGAAAAAGAAGCCTGGTTTTCCATCAAACTTCATGTCTCTCAGTGGTTGGACATGGAGGGTTTGTCATCAAGTTTTTTTTTCTTTTGAAATATATACGCATTATATATACATATATAGAGAGAAACAAATGGTAGGATGTTTGAAACCCTACCCCATGCACAATATTAGTTTCAGCTTCGTTCTTTGATTTTACTGGCCTCGATATACAACCAGTTTCCGCAGCCCTGTGCTTCCGCTATTTACGACTTGATTTGAGGGAAGCCAACGGTAGTCAGCCATTGTCAGTGTTGAGCGCCCAGTTCTGCAGCCTGCATGCATGCGGAACATATTTCTTGTTCTAGATGTTTACTTGTGCAATATGCAAGTGTGTTTTTGCGTTTTATAGCCTTATGAGATGAGCCGAGAGACGGAACAAGACGGGAGGCAGAAGTCTGCAGCAAGTCCAACCAGGAATGAAGCATCTCTTCTTGGGTGAGTGGAAGATCCTGCAGTAGATTTTCTTAAAGAGGATCTCAAATATTAAAGCAGAGCACCACATAGTGAGCTAATACAAAAACTGCAAGTATAGGGATGGAAGTAAAAAGAAAAAAAAATACTGAGAGAAATGCATTATTTTATGATTAGATAAATATGGGATTAAAAGTTAGGACCAATTTTCCCCCTAAGAAACCCATAAAGTTACTGTGAGGTTATGAGAGTATTTGAAAAAAACTCTGCCAAAGTAAAAAAAAAAACTACAAAAAACAAAACAAAGGACTTTTAGACTTTGTCAGAAAAAAAGTGTTTTGATGTAATGTATATACAGAGGATAAAAGTAACATAATTTTGTTTTAAATATTAGAAGTAACTGTCTAACATTGCTGGTGTGCCACAACACAATCTTACAACATTGTAGACTTATTAACACAGCAAAGCTTGTTGTCTTTTCACAGGCAGATTTTGAACCTATCATTTAACACTTCTTCACTAATTCACAATCTTATTTTAATTACAACTTTTTCCCAATAGGTGATGACTAATTAGCCATCTCACTAAGAAACACAGACACACATAACTCCTGGAAAACAAGCTCAATATTTTCTAAAAACTCCGGTCATATATTCCCAGAGTTTGGATGGAACACAAAAAAACATCTATAATCAAAAAATATTGAGCTTTGTTTTCATTTTTAAACATCTTCACGATGTGACTAAGTTTTAAACTGCATACACGGCCTCCTTTTCAAAGTGGCATGGCTACAAGTCTGCTTTTATTAAAAGTGATTCTACATACTGCACTTTCTTCTCTCACGTCTTTAGCCATGCATGGAGCCAAAATGCTTGGTATTATTGCTAAACATGCATCATTGCTATAATTTACCAGCAAACAAGTATTTAGATTTTTTTTAGGATAACAGATTTATTAGAAATTTTTGCTTCATGCCGTTCATGTAAACATATCAGCTGAGGTCCAGTTTATACATTTGTTTCTAAATTCTTCCTGTAGTGAAAAGACTTCTATAGAGGATCTTCTATAGTTGGCACCCCCTGATATCAGCACTTGAGTGGATGGAGAGATCATCAGTGTAAGTATGTGTGTGTGTGTGTTGGTGTGTGTGTGTGTGAAAATGACAAGGTACCCTGTTGGAGTACAAGCAAGTACTTTTGAGTAATATCATATTGGCCTGAACACAACGGATAGAGAACAGCTCTGACTGGTTTGAAATTGCAACATCACAAAAATTCAAACTTTGGACAAATTCATCAGTCCAATATTTTTCATCGAGTAAGCATCTCTTTTAACAACTACCTCTGAGTATCGGCAGAAAGATCGGAGACATTTAAAGCTATTAGAATTAGCATCACCGGCAGAAAACATGAAAACCTTGTCTTCAGTTTCTGCAACTGATGCTCGATTTTTTTGAACATTTGTTAAAAGGTACAAATGTAAAGAATTACCATATTTTTCGCAGTATAAGTCGCACTTTTTTGCATAAATTTGCAAGATACACCAAAGCGACTAATATACGTATTTTTTCCCATATTTATAACCCAATTTTTGGCTGAGATCTGACGATTCTGCCATGGAAAATATTGAACACTACCATTTTCAGCCACCAGAGGGCCCTCAAGTAATATGGCAATCCACGTGTCTCATTAATAGGTAAAAGTGGATATTAATGAAACACTTGTCTTGCCATACCAAGCCACCTTTGTCTTGCTCCGGAACTCCTGGAGCAAACGTCAAATCAGCTGCATTTCGTTACGCTGCCCAGGTGAAATGCAGCTGATTTGACTATCAAAGTGCATTTATTCAGGAAAAGTTCAACTGAGACACACCTTTGCTATAATGTCGACCAAACAAATAATTGTTTTTAGGTGGTTATCTTGGTAAATTTTGAAGAAATGCAAAGCGAGTCTTCTCTCTGCGCGCTCCCACAGCTGCGAATCGGCTTTTGAAATGCAGCTGATTTTACCGTTAAAGTGCATTTATTAAGGAAAAGTTAGACTGAGACACAACTTTGATACAATGTCAAGCAAACAAATAATTGTTTTTAGATGTTAATCTTGTTAAATTCTTGTTGAAGTCCTCCCTTGCACGCTCCCGCGGCCGGCATTTGGCAGCCAATCGATTTTTGGAATAATACCAGCTCACATTTCCAGGTTGTCAGCGGTGATGCATAATAAATGAGACTTATGTGACGAAGCGACTTATTTATGTTTTTATCCACTTTATTAGACATATTTGGACTGATGTGACTTATACGGTGGTGCGACGTGTACGATGGAATGTACAGTAATGCAATTGTCAGTTTTATATCCATTATGGTGATTTTCCAGAAGGCGAGCTAGTTTCAGCAACAACACCTTCCTCCACACACCACCACCATCCCTCAAAGTGACGCCAAGTCTGTTTTTGCCAACACAGTTTTATTCTGAAAGGATCACAAAGTGGAACTAGGGTGTGATATTTGCAGAATATCTAAATATTGATCAAGGGTACTTTGCTTGAAATATCCATCTCTAATCTTTGCAATTTTCTTTTTAACAGAAATTTGGAATCAGTGACAATGTGGAAAAATATAGTATGTGAGTTGGTTTACTAGCATTTGCTTTGTTTTACTCCAGATTGCACAATATTGAAAGAATAGATACACAAATTGATATTTGATTGAATGTATGGCTGCATGTATAGTGTAAAGTGTTTATGCTGAATTTGTCTGATCAGGAGATGCAAAGCAGTGAATGACACTGACTGGAAGAAGCTGTCCTCTTGGTGAGTTGGTGATCGGACACACATACACACCACTATGTCTGCTATGATCTGTTGTCCTGCAACTTACCCTTGTGTGGAGTAACCAGCAGGTCCAGGGTCTTCTGAGATAAATTTGGCCAGATAGCCATCATCTCCTTTCTCAGCTCTGCATCCATCTGGTGCTTGTCAGCACCGCCTGGGTAGTGCACGACCCAGAACAATCACACCCACACACATCAAATGTACAAGTTCGGATACATGAAAACAACCAAAGCAGATAAACCCAAGGCCAAGGGATACAGAATAAAAAGAACCGTGCCACAGAAATTACAAAAACGTGTATATCCATTCACACACATACACATTCACCCAAAGCAAAGAAAATCATTTGTTAGATTAACTGGCAGGTTGTGGGACATTGAGCTGAAATGTGTTTTAAGGAAGACGAAGAAAAAAACTCAAGAAATTAGATTGTCAGTACATATTCAAAAGAGATAAATCAGTGTGTTTTAGGCCCTACCCTTGGCGATCTTTATGTCCAGTGCTGTCCTGATCAGAGCCATGAGGGTGGAGTTAAAATGCACCGTGTTGTCGTCTGCAACCGGCAGATCCATGCGAAGCAGCCTCTGTGGAGAGCCAGTCAGGATGAGAGGATGAGAAAGGGAGGTGTCCTTGCTAGAGTGGGGTGTGCCTGAACTTCCAGGGAGGGGTTGGGGACGGGGTTGAGAGAGCTCCATAGACAAAGGCCACTAAAGGTTGGACATGATTTATCCATTCTTTATTTTGTTTTTGTTTCTTGAGGCCAAAATGAATCAAATTTAGACCTGTAAATTTCAAGTTTTAATGGTCTTTAAAAAACCTAATGTAAGCACAAACGACTGTTGAACGTTTATGTAATAAGTGCACTACATTGCTGTGGTAATATGTACTTGCAAGAGCAATATTTGCTTGAGGAAACTCAAACAAACTTATTTAAGTCTGTGTCTCCTGTTTTTCCAGTGATACTCTATGAGACAGCACAACTATCTGATGCTGCTAAGCAACTGTGAGAGCTGCAAAAACACAAGGAAAAACAATCAGAGCCAAAATGGCATCCGACCCAACCTGTGCCCATGTTCCCTATATGTGTGAATGCTTATGCACATTGACACATTTTGTTATGACACACATATAGATTTATATACATATGTATATGACAGTTGACATACACCAACACCCCCAGTCCCACCCAACATCTCTCCCTGCCCACTAACACACAATTACTTTCACAGACTGCAATTAAGAGAACTTAATTGGAGTCATTTGGAGACAAAATCAGTTGACCGAAGAGCAATAACAGTATCACTGGTGTAATTCTGCTATTTTTTTCAGGAGACAGCTTTGTTTTTTAACCAGGGCACTTGCTATTGAGCTCCCCCCTACCAGCAAGGAGGTTCCCTGTCTTCACATATCTATGCCAGGTAAAACAGATGGAGAAACCTGCAGATAGGATGGAACAAGCTGGACCAGCGTGGGTTGCTTGCCATACCCAGTCTGACCAGTTAACATCCATCAGATTTACCTACGAACATGAGCGTTGGGCACTCACGATGGAGGGCACGGTATGGCGGTAGACTTGTGTGCATGCTTGTGTGTACCTGAGTGTGTGCGAGTGTTGGGCATGCCCGAAGCCAAATGTGTGGCAGGCGAAGGGCATCGGCCAACATCCACAGAGCTCAGCAGGCAGCAGCTTTGATGTCACTCGAAGCCATGCAACAAAAAGGGCAAGGATTGCATGCAACACAAAACAAGGCCCTGAAAAATCCCACAAACGCAGACAAAGCATGCAACATGCCTTCACTTCACTCCAGTTATCTAAGCCCCGATTATTCCCACCTACTCAACCCACTACCCACCAACTTCCCTTAAAACCCACTTTTACAGTACAAGCAGCCGTGCATCCGCGCAAAGAGAGTATCCTAAATCCAACAGGATTGGCACTTTTACTTTAGGTTATAAAATACATTTCCTTATTTTTGGTTTTTAAATGTTTGCATCCATCGCTTTCTTGATAAACGCCAAAGCAAACAGCAGTAATAGCACTTTATATCATGTCAAGGTTCCTCTCAATGCTAAACGGGTGCAGTGTCTTAGGTGGGTGTCAGAGTTAAAAGGGATTTGAGGTCTGGCATAGCCTGAAAGGAAAAAAAAAAAGATATAAGGAAGATCAAAAAGAGATGACAAGTGCTTTCTGTTTTTTTAATGTTGGACCAACCAGAATTTGTGGTGATAGTACACTAAAGTTCAGGGGACGGGGTTTATAAAGGGGGCACATGATAGGGACAGCAGTTATTTGAGCTAAACTAGGCAGATCTCAGCTCAGTCATGGGATGTAGTTACAGATATAAAGGGAAGGGTGATAATGAAGAGGGAGAAGAGGTTTGTGAAAGAATATAGGAGGATTAAAAACATGAGTCATCTGGAGTAAACAGAGAGAAGAACTGTGTGTTTGTGGAGAAACAAGAGAAAAGAGTGGCTGAAAATTACAGAACACCACAAGAGAGAAAGACAAGGACTAAAACAACACTGACATAGTCTTAGAGGTCAGTTTAAGAAACAAAGAGTGTTAACAATAATCAGTTATTAGAGGTTCCTCCTTTTAGGAAGAGGTAAAAAGTTTTAAAACACCTAAATAAAAAATAAAAAAATGAATACAAAAATTAATTCCAAACATTCATGTTGTCATTCTATATGACTTCCTGACATGGAAGGGCCCTTAATTTTATTTTCCCACAAATAAATAACTGCAAACTAAAATGGCTGAAACATGTAATGAGGGCATCTGTTTGAGACAGGCCAACTGTTCTGGAGAGAAATTAGAGGACAGTAGAACAGGTGTGGGCTTGGATGGCCAGAAGGATGAAGGAAGATGAAAATGGATTGTTTGCTGACTGACTGACATAGAGGTAGACAGACAGACAGACAGACAGACAGACAGACAGACAGACAGAAAGAGTGAGACAGTAAAGCCAAAAAAAACAAACAATAAAAACAAAAATAAAACAAAACAACAACAAAGAAAAAATAAAAAAAAACAAAAAAAAAAAAAAAAAAGAGGAGAGCAAAATTTTTTTAATGAAATTAATTTGAAAACAGAAAATGTGAACAAAGAAGTAGCAAAAGTAAAACAAACAAAAAAAAGATCAACTGTTGGACAAACATCCAGATTCAATAAATTTTACAGAAACTGAAAGGTGCATTTTTTTTCTCAGATGTCTTCATGAATCATAAATTAATGCACAAAAGGATTACAGTAGTCCCTCGATACTTGGCGGTTCAACTTTTGCGGACTCACTCTTTTGCGGGTTTTCAATGTAAGAATGTACACGACACACTATTGGCGATGAGGAAAAACAGACCCCATCCCACACGCCCCGCACACTCCTTTCTCTTTCTGAGGCTGTCAGCCACAGAAAGAGAAAGGAGGGAACGGGGTGGGGTCTGTCTTTCCCCATCGCTACTGCTCAGGGAGCAGGGATGCACAGATCAGATGAACAAATGTAGAATATAGGAGAAAATGTTTAAGTGGAAAAATAAGGGCAAATCAGTTTACAAAGAGAGAAAAATGGCTGAGAGCAGCTGAATTCAGCTCACTCAGGTATAAGACAGACCCCGTCTCCCCCCCATGCCCCCTCCTTTCTCTTTCTGAGTCTGTCAGAGCAGAGAAGAGTGTGCCACACGAGCGGCACCGATTGTTTATTTAAAATAATCCTGCACAAACTGAACCAAGTTTTTAGCCCTCCGTGGTGATCACTAAGCAGGCCAGGCCACCGGGAAATGTAAAGTAAAGGTGCTCCAGATGGCCAGTCTGACTGGCTCACTAACCGTAGCATGTCTGTCTGCTCTCTTTCAACGGTGCTCTTTTAGAATGTTCAGAACATTGTTAAGACCATTGCAAGAGGGTGGGAAGGGTTTATAAAGCCTTAATATATATAAATACTAAAATAAATATAACAACCATACTTTGCGGATTTTCACCAATTGAGTGGGTGTCTGTAACGTAACCCCCACAATTTGTATTTCAGTATTTGTACAGACTGTATTTGTATTTCAGTATTTGTACAGACTGTATTTGTATTTCTGTATTTGTAAAGACTGTATTTGTATTTCTGTATTTGTACAGACGGTATTTGTATTTCTGTATTTGTACAGACTGTATTTGTATTTCTGTATTTGTACAAACTGTATTTGTATTTCTGTATTTGTACAAACTGTATTTGTATTTCTACAGACTGTATTTGTATTTCTGTGGGAAAATGTTAATCATAAAATACCTTATATATATATATATATATATATATATATATATA